TTGGCAAAATAGATTGACATCATCACGAAAGAAATAAATGGCATGTTTATTACTTGATGTGTCCACTGCTGTACATTTGTGCTGGCCGTTTGAATACATCAATTAACTCTGGCAGAGGTTTAATGCAGCACACAGGATCATTAAAATCGACTCTGCTGGCTGGCGATTCAAAATCATTAGAGATCCTCTCCAATTTGCTACCTTCTTAAGTAGATCATGAGCAACTGGTGGAAACTGCAATTTTTCAGACGACCAAATTCAATAATTGATCAGATTTCAATAATGCTTACTGCTAGCAGTCGTTCAAAACCTATCCCATCCGATTCTGTCAGTCGCATGGTAGACCTGAATAACATCACATATAAGTCATGCCTGACAAAAGTCATTCCATATTTGAACGAATGGAGAGCCAGATGTATGACTAAGTTAACTATGATAAAAGCTATTCCGTTCAAACCTGTCTATTTCAAGACTCCACATAGAAAATAGCATTAAATATCCTTCAGACTGTAATGAATGCATGAATTTAAACGAAACCGAAAATTTGCAATATAAGTTTATTGTTGTATATTCTTAACTTATTATTGAATTTGTATTTAAAAAAATGGTATTCATAGAATTGAACATAAGTCTATCTTTTAAGAAGAATATAAAACTTTACTATCATTTTTTAATGCCAGTAAGAAAATTATATCACGAAAAAGTATCCTTGCAGAAAATAACTTCTTGAAATCTGAAATAAGACAATAACACTTTTCCGTTGAAAATAGTTATTATTAAACTAAGTAATATAGACTTTTTGTGATGCAAGACGCTACTGTAATGTGTCTGAAATATGCAGAAGATCCTTCTTTATCTGATGAATGATAATAACGTAGTTTTATGTTTATGACGTCTTATTTGAATGTGACAATATGTCTGATTTTGAAGATTACTGTATACAAATCCTCCAAAATCTGAGGATCAAAAATAACATAAATGTTTTCAGTTGTCGATGTGTTATGTGTCTGTCTGTAGTATGGACGATTGACCAGTATGTTTTATGGTTTTTATGTGTCCGTTATATTGACCATTAATTCAAAATCTGACTCTACTAGTATAGTTGTTTGTTGTTTAAATGTTGTTCGATATACACCGGAAACAAATTTTCTTATCTTCGTATTTGTCTTATGTTCATTATCTGCCAATCTCCAATAAAACAACCAAGGTCATCAGAACCTCTTTTGAATCCCTTTACATTAATCGTTATATAAATTTTTATTATAAAAGTATTTCGAAATCTTAATCTAAATATAAAACGGTAAGATAACAATACATCTTATTATTTTATTGTATTATTGTATTCTATTGTTATCATTGTTATTGTATTTTTATAGACAATGTTTGGAGAGGAATCCTGTATCTGTAATGAGTCTGTATGATAACACTAATGTTTAATAATGTTGAACATGTTTACTAGACTAATGCTTTCCTTATCTACATCATAATTAGCCATGATAATGGATGGAATGGTGTTCTTTCTTCTTTCTCTGGAACCATTTAATAATAATAATGTTTCCAGCAAAAAATCTAAAACGACGTTTTAAGTGTTGAGCGATGCAATTAAATGATAAACATTTTTCTGGAATTATTCCCATTCCAAACGTATTGCAGTTTTCGAAGTATTCCATCAAAAGCCAATCCTACGTTCAGTTAACCACTTTTACAAACCAGTTTAAAAAATAACGTTTCGTCTTGCCCGTAGTAACCTATTGGTATGACACGACTAGTTCAGCAGAAAACACCAAAACGCTACAGAGCTTTTTTAGATCACAAACGTTTTGATACTTAAATCTTCCAGGGTTTAAGGCTATTTGACTTTTTTGTTCCAATTTAACAATGATATTAACATGGTCCTATTCACAATAAAATTTTGACATCGTCTTTTTTGAAAATTCGAAATATCGCATTATATTCATAGATACCTGCTGAGTGATTAGATTCTGGCATTTTTGAAATTGTGTAAGGAGATAGTGCTCCAAATTGAGCCAAATCAGCATTTAATTTCAATATTTTCGACCTACCGCCTTCAATTTAATAAAAGACACCATATTAATTTCGCCAAGGAAGAATACCAAGACAAAAGACCTACGCATCATTTTAATATTCCAAACAGAAAATAGTAATTATGGTAATTAAGTCTACCAGTGTGGATAAATAAATGATGATTATAAATAATATAAGACAAAACTCACTGATGATTAAAGAAAAGAAACTAATGATTGAAATTATCAATTTTTCTACCTTCTATACTAGAGAACCTTATTGATTTTTAATGCTTCATTTCATTTAATAATTATATTCGCTTTTTTTTCTATATAGATATTGATTTTATCGAACGTTAATATGGTTTCGAAGAGGTAAATATGAAATGAAAAAGTGTCTATTATGTGACACATTAATGACTAGTACACCTGCATGACGTATTCAAAAATGATGTCATTCGGATTTTTCCAAAATAATGAACGCGTAATTCTTGGATGATAAGTCAGCATTTTAAAAAACAATAAAGGTCGTTTCGTACACATCTAATATCTAATTCAATACACAGGTAACATCTGTGAATAAAAGTGAATTTCAGTTGTCGATACAACAAAATACAAAATCCATAGTTCGAAATTACAGAAATATTAATCAATTGAGTTTCTGTCAATCAAAATGCAGATTCAGGCACAGTTGTCAAATTTCCTTATTTCATCAGTGATGGTTTGTCATGTGCTGTTTTGGGTAATATAGTTGAAATGAACTTTGTGAACCTTTTGAAAAGTAACAAACATAGATATCTTATTGTTAAATCTAAATAAAGAAAAACTAATTTAGATGAGATTTAATCGAAAGCTCATGAAATAAATAAATTCAATCTCTCAAATTTATCAAAATATTTAGATTTCAACATTTAAATCCTGTCCTTAGGGTGTGTTTTCAAGTGGACAAACAAACGTTACATGGATGTTATGTCATAACCGTCTTGCTAGTTAGTTATCACCTATTTATATCTGCCAGTTTCACAAAGTAAATAAACCAGGCCGGTGTAAACTGTATGTCAATATTTGTAACACATTCAAAAGGTTCACAAATTTTCAAAAAGCTGATAAGATATAGAACTCAAACCGAATTAAGGTTGTTGCCAAAATTGTATTTTATTGGAAACATATCAATAAACAAAAAATGTTAACAACATAATAAATAGAACTTAAATCTGTAAGGTTTTCACAAATTTTTCTCAAGTTGAAGGGCAAATGGTTTTCGATTTGGTTTTGATATTGTGCCATTTTCTCAAAGATTAAGAGCACTTTCAAGGCCACACATTGACCAGGCAAATAATTTGTCAAAATCAAAGATTAGAAATTACAGGACTGAAAGCATTTCTTCTATTAGAATAGGGGAGAAAATAAAGATTTGTATGAAAATATTTCAAAAATTATAACTTTGAAATTGGATTTGAAAAAAGTCTAATAATGGCAAGCTGTGGGTCCAGGACAAAAACATGGTGACAGTACTAAACAAATTTTGAAAGAAATGGTTTCGATATGCACACGGAAAGTTACCATGCAAACTTGAGTTACCTTTACGATTGTTAAGTAAGTATATAGAATAATAAATTTATATAATATATAGAATTATATACACAACAGAGTAAATATCCAGTAGGTTTTATGCACTTTCCCAAAATATACCAGTTTTTGTGGCTTGACTAAAAATAGGTCATTGCAATCACTAAGTACTTAAATTATCCGTAAACAAACATGTAGACAAACAAAAATTTCCAAATCTGTTCACATAATCCCGATCTCCAAATAAACAGAATCTGTCCAAAAAATTATGCAAATAAGTCACATTTAGTAGAAAAATTATCAAACTCAGTTCTTAAAATTCAGTAAATTTAATGGTTAACGTATGTTAAAAAACAACTGTACACGTACACTGTACACGTATTGTTAGGAATTTACAGCACATTTACTATTCAAACACGCACAAATTTCACACGTTTTTCATTCAAATCTGGTCGTTTTTTTCTCACGACTACTACGTTTCAATGTCGTTCAATATAAAATATTTATCACACATACATTGTTAGAGGAGCTCGAAAATTCCTCCAAGCAAAAATCCATTATTCACAATATTAGAATACTAAAGAATTGTTTATACCACAGTCAAATAATTACAAAGACACACTATGCCTATGCACTGGTTTCGGTATGTGTAGGAAGTGTCTGTTGCGCTGAAGAACTAGCAGCCATACTAGCTAACAGAGCTCTATCACGATGTATAGCATATTGTGAAGGATGTAGTTGGTGATGAGGGTGATGTCCATGATGGGGATGATGGTGTGGTGGGTGGTGTAATGTGTGATGTTTTGGAACCCCATGTAACATCCTTGGAGGCTGATAAGGTGGAGGGGGGTAATCATCAACGCAAAGTGACATGGGTTGATGATGGAAAGGTCTAAAGTCCTTCACACTAGTAAGGTGACGATTGTGATGAGCTGCCAATGCTAAAGGATGGTGTTGTCCTTGCATTGCTGCTAAATTGTTAGTGTTAATACTTTCATAACTTCTCCTTTCTGGAATCACTTCATAATAGTTCTCCGAGCTTGTTTGACTATAGTCCGTTTGTCCTTGATCTGACAATGACGGATTCACATAGAAAACATCGTCTTGAGTCATAGTTGCCTGGCTCGATGTCACCGAACTTCCTTTAGATTTACTTTGACGCCTTCCAATAAACCACAAAATGAAAAAGACGACAGCACAGATCAAAGCAACACCTGCTAATACGCCTAGTCCAATGGATACGTACAAATAGTTATCTTCCACTGGTAAAGGGGGAATGATAGCTTTTCCTAAAGGGTCCTGTTCACAATCACCATAAAATCCAGAAACATTGAACACATAATTGAGGTTTAAAGGCTTTACAGAATCACAACGACTAAGGGCGAAATACCAAGTTCTAGGTCCACTAGAGCGAAATATACGTTCACCAAGACACACGTAATAAGGTTCTCCGGTTTCGTTCCAAATGTTACATCCTACTGTTCGGTTATTTTTATATAATGGTATAATTTGATTATTATCAGCAGGTAGTATTTGTTCACGTTCTTTACAAGTCATATCTTCTTTTAACATCCTAATTTGATCGTCATAATAAATTAGTAAATTTGTGCAGCATTCCTTTACTGGGTATGTGATCTGATATTGAATTTTAGCCCAATCCCGATGAAACGGTTTCTGTACTAAATATCCGTACCACTTGAGTTCTGTATAAACACGACCTTTAACGGTACATACAGGCTCTTCAGCCATGATAAAATTTCCAGTCAAAACGCAACACACAAACAATGCAAGTCGTACCAGAATATCCATATTCCTTGCTGTGACCGGAGACACAAACAACTCCATGTTAGCTACACGAACAACACACAACTAAAACAGGATTGATCAATATATTTCACTCACGGGCTCAGTCAACATGGCCGTCTACTGTACCTGAGTGACTGGCGTGTTTCTTTTTGTCTTGTCAGCTCACAAATAGTCAAACATCAACCGTGCGTAGAACACTTTCTCTTGTCAATGAGAAGAGAAATATAAAATGTTATGCTCTCCTGCCCATCGAAACAAAACACCGAACTTTTAACGATCGAATTTCACAGTCGCTCTAGTGCGAGCTCTGCTACAGTTGACGCCAAATGATCGTCTGCTTCAAACTTGAAGATGCCCGCGTGTGTTCTAGACGATACCAAGTAAGTGGTTGCTTTCAAAACAGGGAGAGTTCACTCGAATACCTCACAATCTGTTGTCAACTTGGTAGATCTGGAAATACAATAAAATTCTATTTAGTATGGTGTGGACTTATTTATGGTGGTATAAAGTGTGTAATGTTTAAGATAAGTGGTAAATTATGAACTTCTCAATGAACTCGTCTGGATATAGGTAATTATGGACCTATACTAGAACGTAAATAAACATCTTGCCATATCAAGACCATAATTCATACTTGTACCCTTCCATGAACTCTGGGGGCATTTTAGGTACAATCCTGAATATTATTCCCACGAATATATCTTGTGATAAATTAGAACAGCGTGTTTGGGAGAAAATAATAAAACATGTAGCTGTAAGATAAAATTGTTCTTAGCTGTACAAATCCTATTAATAGATAAGACTTAGTGGCATTCTTTCACATCGTGTAACAAAATAACACCTTCTGAATACACCTTGTGCATTTTTCAAACTTACAAAGTACCAGAATTTAACGAATATTAGACAAATTCAAAGGTTCATTAAAATTTCAGTGATACACATATAAATTGCAGTTTTCAAACTTTCAAAATTTTACCATTTGACAAATACTCGACGAATTCAAACGTTCATCAAAATTTCAGTGATACATCTAAATTGCATTTTTCAGACTTTCAAAATTCCTTAAACGAATTCAAAGGTGCGTCAGTGATACAAATCTACAACATGGTACAGACTTTCAAAATGCCTCATTTCAACGTATTTCCTATGTATATAAGCTATTTAGCGAACATATCTAACGGTGCACCAACACTGCAGTAATGTAAATAACAACTATAATGCATTTTTCAGACATACCAAATTTTTACAACATCGTATATCACGTAATCGACAACAACTTCAAAAAGCATGGCAAATTATCCGCTGTATCTTAAACAGTCTAGATTTAAAGCATACAAAAGCCGCATTATTCAAATTTTCTGTCATTTCTATGAATATTAAGACATTCCTTAAAGAAAATCAAAATGTGCATCTAAATTGCAGTACAAGCCTAATTATACCAAGATTGACATTTCAAGAGTAATGGTATGAACAGGTATAGCATTTTAACGACCTTCATTTAAAACTGCTGTTTACCTAGCCATGTAAAAGGGGGTCGACTCAGTTTCTTTCTTTGTTGAAATTTGGAGCAAGAGTAAGAGAACTAACACTTGTGATGTAGCAATGAACATGGTGAGGAGGAAAACATGAAAAGCTATACTCGTTCAACTTTCAATGAGAGAAGCTGTTTGAAATTAACGAAAATATAAGAATGCTTGACCTCAAACTTGAAATCAATGGGGAAATTATCCTTAATAGAACAGGAAATCCCACTTGATTTACCGACATAGTTAAATAATTAACAATTTTCTTTTTCTTAAAATATCTTAACATTTCTCTTTGTCTAAAATGAAAATCAAACCCTTACAACATCGATTTCCAGACTTCTCCAGATAGATCATAAAATTGTGAAGTTAATTAACTCTTCAAACCTTAGAAGATGCGTAGACGTATTAAATAAAATAGAAAAGACATAAAGATTTCATGATCAATAAAAGTTTAAAGCTATACAGATATATATTCAAGTATATTAAATTTCGTTTGATGTCACCGAAGCTAGACTTTATAGCAATATATCACCTTCGTATTAGATTTGGATCAAACTTGTGATTTGTGTAAAAATCGACCTACGTAATAATGGGGTTGGATGACATATCGGGCCAGGTACATTATAATACAAACTTCAAACAACGTCTTGTATAGCAGGATCAATAGGACTGACTTTATATCAAACAGGTTTACATCTTATTATATTAACATTATAACATAGGTTACATTGATAATACATCACTAACCTAAATATTATAACATAGGTAATTATATTCTGTCTCGTCTGTATTCGTGACCCAAAGAAGAAAAGAGCCAAAAACTCTTGCTCTAGAATGAGTTCATGTTTTTAAATTTGAAAACTCTTTAATAAAGACGCAACATTGGCATTGCTGCAAAAGACAGTAAGTAACTTGGCCGCAATATTGGTGGCATATTGTATGGAAATTATTCAAGATGTTATCATACTGATGCCGCAACACGAATGCCAAAACATATTGTAATGATAATAAATAATGATGATAAAATCTTTAAATAAGTCAGAGTTAGGTCCGTTACACTCAGGTGAAGAACTTAAGTGAAATCCTGGTGTCCTACATTCGGCCCTTGAAAGTTTACCTACATTTCATAGAATTCTGAGCAACAATGTGTATGGAAAAAGCATAAGGTAAAGCACAAAAATGTATTGGTCTGTATTCAGATGTTATAAAAATGTTTCAAACATTGGTCCTATGTTATAAAAAAAAACATACAAATGTTATGAACATTGATCTGTATTCTTATTTCTTATGTTATAAAAACATTACAACGTTTCTAACATTGGTCTTTATTATTATGTTATAAAAAACATACAAATGTTATGAACATTGATCTGTATTCTTATTTCTTATGTTATAAAAACATTACAACGTTTCTAACATTGGTCTATGTTCTAATGTCATAATAACATTACAATGTTACAATTTGATTATTGTTATAATGTCATGACTCAATAACAATCATTTCTTATTTTAATATCATGATGTAAATATTAAGAAAAATACAGTTCGTGATTTTCTTCAAGTCGATAACATAATCTAAAAATTTTAACTATGTTTTATTATTGATTAGATTTTCCTTACTTTATCGATTTCTGTGGCTTTAATAACCAAAAGAAAATTGCTTTTCACTGAATTTAATACATGTATATATTTAGAATAAAATTACTTGAAAAACCTAATGTTTTAAGCCATCAGACAAGATGAAAAGTGCAATAGTTTTAAATGTACTTTGAAATATATAGGCGAAACAAAAACTATGCCAAAGCCACGCTTTACAATAAACATGGACATTCTTAAAATATTACTTTTAGTGGGAGATCTGTCAAATGGTCTGATATTTCTTCTCACCGGAACCGTTCTGGATCAACGCAATTTTCCTTTGAAAAACTATTAAAGGCTCACTTTTGACCTGGTCAAATTTCTTTATTTCTCTCAAGAGAACGGGAATGGTATTGGTATCAAAAGGTAGATCAGTTAAATTTATGTCTTTTAGTAATTGGACGCTACCAAATGGTTTACCTCACAAAACTCCCATCAAAGTCTTTCTTGCCATCTGAAATTACCTTTAGCACAAAGACTCGATTGAGAAAGTTAAGTGTGAGACGATGAAGTATGAGTGCTATTTGATTTTCATTAGATATAAGTATTGTTGAATGTTATCAATTTTTTATAGCTTCAACAGCTGGTCTGATCTCGAACAAAGAACAATTGGGATCTAATTTATTCCCTCTATTCAAATACCTGTTTTATTTCATTACCATATGTAAAAGTTAATAATAATATTGGCCCTGTATAATGAAATACCAATATAGAATAGTATATTATATATTTATTAGGTGGATATTAGTAATTGTTTCGAAAATCATGAGTAATCGTGAATAGTCATCTGAATTAACTAACTTTCAAATGTGTCATGGACGATTTTTCTTTTATAACTGGTACTTAACATCTAATGACCAATTAAAAATGATAGACATGCAAGGTTTGATTTCCAAAAGATAACATATACATGAAGAGGTTTTGGATTATTGAAAGATAGACGCTAATCATATAAGTTAATTTTGAATCCAGATGGTAGTTCATGAGAGATATTTTGACAATCATATGCTTGTAACTTTGCCTTTCGAAGATTAAAACCTTCCTAATCAGGTAATTCCATGAAAAAGCAAATTTATGGGTAGCTTTATACCTTGGCCATTGCTTTACTAGGACAACCTTCATCTCTATCACCAAATAGTAGTTTACATTTGTTTAGGAATGTCGCAGAACTGAAATATGTATTCAAAAAATATTAAGCATAGAGTCTTAATGAGATCCACCCAGGCCAGATTAAACTCCACGACGTCTGTAAGGTGCTAAAGGCTTGTTTAGTTTTGTTGAAAAATTACAATCTACTACCAGCATGATATCTTATACAAAGACAGCGACCAGAACAGACCAAACAATACGATTTATATATATACTGTCTTATAAATCACTAACTATTACTTCCTTCCAACTTTAAATTGACGGCTTTGCCTTCATTAACGTTCTCCGGAAACCACACAAAACAAATATTTCAGTGACGAGAAACTAACATTGAAGAAAAACGACATTGATACTGGTATAGGAAGTAGAAGGAAAAGTCGATAGCATTGTAAAAGAAAGGATATATACACACTGTACAATTCAATATTAAGTCTGCAGACAGAGTTTTATAGGAAAACTGATTTACAAGTTTTAAGTTCATAAAGCCAAGGCCGTTATCAATCGAATTTCGATATAACATTTACATCTCACACATTTTATGACTATTTGATTTGGTCAGCTGACAACTTAAAGAGCTTTAAACATAGTATTTTCTTACGTATAACAAAATCTTAAATATCATTTCAAATT